AAATTATTTTTTGTTAGAGTGGTCAATTACAATCATTTTTTGTGAATAGACATATCCCCGAAATCCTACGCACTTTCGAGAAAAAAATTCGAGTAGGTGTGAAATTTTTCGGCAAAATTAAAAAATTTCAAAACGTTCTGAAAAAATTATTTTTAGTTGCGGGGGTCAATTAAAATCATTTTTGATCAATAGACATACCCCCGAAATCCTACGCACTTTCGAGAGAAAAATTCTTTACTGTGCTACGTTACTATAGAACTTTAAAAGTTAATAACTTTTTATCGAAGCCACAATCAACAAATTAGTATTCTTGATTTTCGTCTTACTTTGGCATCTAGAACCTCCCATTAAAATGTTTCCCAGGGGTTGGCCGAAATCCCTGTGTAACACACTGAATTAATGATTCGGTGTAATATACTGAATCTAATAGTAACATTTTCATTATAATGTAATGTATAATATACACGTATAATAGAAATATTATATAATTTCTGTAATTAAACAATGCTCGGCTAATTAAATGGTCAAATTAAAATCCACAAATAAGAATGGGAATCCTATTAATATGAATAAAGTAAACTGGCAACAATTCCGTGAGAAGGGAATCGAAAAGAAAAAAGGAACCGTGAAAGTTTCCAAGAATAAATCTTTCCAGCGACACAGGACCACAAAATATTGTAATCGTTAAGTGGAAAATCTGATTCGGTGGGCACTGGTGGGTTGGTTTCTCGTTGAGGATTGATCAAAGACAGGATACCGTGGACGCCAGTCACTTCATCACTGGTAATCCACGATTAAAACCAAGAAGAGAATCGACGACTTCAAAATTTTCGAGAGACCCGAAACCTCTGTAATCTTCTCCCTCTTCTCTCCCGGGGGTTCTACCGATCTGTCACGGCCTCACACAAAAGTAGGTTAACCGGTCAGATTCCAGATAAAGGTCGCCAGGTGATACAACTGACAAGTACGAATGAATGAAATACAACAGCAGGTTCGGCCGTTTTTACCTGTTTCGATGTTCCTTTCTTCTCCCAGAGGGAAACGATAAACGAGTAGAAGTAAGTCATGTATCTCGGAACAATTCATTTATTTATGTCACGGTCCCTTTGGTAATGGCGCGGTTAGTTGAAATATTTTATACTCGTCGGCCAACATTGCGTTATTTTTGTAACTTTGCGAATGGTAACGCGGTTGGTAGAAAACAGTTCGAGTCTATTTCCAATACCATTTGATAGAACAAGGGATAAATTATGCGAAACGTTGACTCACATAATCTTACATTTTTTAATACGATCCCTGTCAAACTGTCTGAACAAATTTTCTATTTGTTGTATTCCCGAGCTGCAAATGAAATTTGTAACATTGATATTTAAAATTAATGCTGAAAATTAATATTCTAAATTGTACGTATCATCGCTGCAAAACTATTAACGTCTACGTACAGTTTTCTATTTCGTCGTCAAAAAGTTGAACCATAATCTCGTACTTCTTTGAAGCTTTTAATCTTCTTCAAAAGAGATGATGGATTGGACACAGTGGCTTAAGCTCCTCCTCCACCTTCCAAAACAATTTATTATCTGAATCTCAATCGCTTCTAGCCATTTCTTTATCCGTTGATAAATGTTGAACAATCGTCGAAACTTTAATATTTCTATTTATAATTTCAATGGATCGGCTTCTCAAAATCTTACATTTTTTTTCAAGTTTTTGTTAGCCATTAGATCAAATATACATTAGATACAGTATATCCTCTTTTTTAATTTAGTAAAAGTAAATAAATTTTATTTCAACGCTTTGGTTAGCCCTCTTCATTTCATTCGATATTCTGCTGTATGCTTGTACTGGATCGTGCATGGGATGTCTTTTTGATAAAGTAGCCATTTTATTTGTAACCAATTCAGAAGAAAAGACTGAAAGGTAACCTACATCGTTATGGTTTTAAACTACTTATTTAGTAATTAAAAAAAACACTGATATCTCTGGGTAAAAAGTGAAGTTTTAGTTAACAATGAAAGTAACAGATGATACCTTCAAGATTTAAAAAATAGTATTCACTCAAATTTTCGTAATTTGAACTTACAGTAAGAAGCAAAACTAAACGTACATATGGACTTGAGCCACTTCTGGTACGTGTTTACAAAAAAAATATTATAAATACGGTATATATTGTTGAATTAATTTCTATTTTCATTTATGTAGATTAGAAATAGACGTTATTTACATGTGTATTTGTGTGACATAGAAACTACACGACTAGAAAATTTGATTTAAATGTACCATAAGATTATCAATGTTAACATGTTTTAATGTGTTTGGAAAAATTATGCATTTAAAGATAGTATTCGAACTGTGTCCTTGAAATTGTCTGCGAATGCTAAGTCAAAGGATGTAACGGCTTTATAAATAAAAACAAGCAAACCTATCTTTTTGTTGTGGACTGTACATTTTGTAAATAACCCTGTACAAAAAATCCAGCGATCACATCTGGCGATTTAGCCGCCCAGCTCGTAAGTCCTTGACAATCAATCTTTGTTTCTGGGAACAGATCCATTAAAATATCAGTGGTTGCGGAGAATAGCTTAAAAGTCGATGGAAAAGTCATATTGTTTAACATAACTACATTTACTTCGATATTATGCACACGTTTTGTTCTAGTCTAAAATTTCATTTTTACTTTAAAAACGTGATTATGTAATCATGAAAATTATAAGCCATAACGAAAAATTGAATACGCTTTAAACTAAGCTTTATTTGCCTAAACATATTTATGTTAAAATCAATATTTACTGACAAGGAACCATCGCGAACGGTCCGGCTTCGATTTTGATGAAACTTTGTACACTTATAAAGCAGCCAAAAATAATCGACACGTATTTTTTGTTAGCTGCGGTAACTCGAGTTTAAGGGGTGAAACCACCCCTTCAAGTTTTGGCTCGAAACGGCTATCTCGAAAACGGAAAGACATACAAAAAAATTGTTAATGGGCGAGGTTGATGGTTTCTTATGTACAATAACATGGTGTTAAAAAATTTTAAAAAATACAATTTGTTTATAACAAAAAAAAATTTATTAACTTAATTTTTCATTTTATTGAAATTTTCATAATGACAAAAAATGACGAGCATTTTAATCCAAATCCATTGGTATGCGATTTTTTAAAATTGCCTCCTACAGTTTTGCAGATTTTGATGATTTACATCTTGCGCGCACATCCATTATGGTAGTAGCCGTTCTAACTTTGATTTTAATGAAGCACTGTAGGCTTGCACTACTTCTAGAGGACAAAATCGGGAAAAATACCAATTTGTTGATGGAGGCTTCGTTAAGAAATTATTAACGTTTAAAGTTCCGCCCGTACTGAATTTTTTTCTCCGAAATGCCCAAGATTTCGGGGGAATGTGTAATGACCAAAAATGATTGTAATCGATCCCTGCAACCGAAAATAATTTTTTCAGAATGGTTTGAAATTTTTTAATTTTGTTGAAAAATTTCACACATTCTCGAATTTTTTTCTCAAAAGTACGTAGGATTTCGGGGGTATATATATTGACCAAAAATGATTGAAATTGACTCCCGCAACTGAAAATAATTTTTTTAGAACGATTTGAAATTTTTTTTTTCGCTGAAAAATTTAGGCACCTACCTGTCGATTTTTCTTAAAAATTCGTTTTTCATTTTTAATAATTTTGTTTGACGCCCTACAAAAAAGTTGGCCAATACTTTTTTGTAGGTACCTATGAGCTCTACGTCAGAAAAAAGTTTCATTGAAATATATTCACTATTGTAGGAATTATGGCTGTTTGAAGATTGGACCATTTTTATGGGGTTTTTCTCATTTTGCGGGGTCAAGGATCAACTTCTTGCATATTTTTGCGATTTCTACGTATTCTTGATTAAAATACGCGTCGTTTGCATTTTTGAAAATTAAAATCCTTCAATCCGTTCAGAAGTTATGACATTTTAAAGATCCGCATGAAATTTTCGGACAACATTTCTGGCCATAAATTACATTTTCGATTAGGAATTTTTTTCTCGAAAGTGCGTAGGATTTCGTGGGTATATGTATTGACCAAAAATGATTGTAATTGGCCCCCGCAACCGAAAATAATTTTTTCCTGTAGGATTTGAAATTTTTTGATTTAATTTTTTAATAACTTTTTAACGAAGGCTCAATCAACAAATTGATATTCTTGATTTTCGTCTTATTTTGGCCTCTAGAATCTCCCATTAAAATTTTTCCCAAGGGTGGCCGAACTTTTCCAAATCCATTGGTATGTAATATTTTAAAATTGCCTCTTACAGTTTTGCAGATTTTTATGATTTACATCTTGCGCGCACATCCATTATGGTAGTAGCAGTTCTAACTTTGATTTAGTGCAACCCTACAGTGCTTCATTAAAATCAAAGTTAGAACGGCTACTACCATAATGGATGTGCGCGTAAGATGTAAATCATCAAAATCTGCAAAACTGTAGGAGGCAATTTTAAAAAATCGCATACCAATGGATTTGGAATAAAATGCTCGTCATTTTTTGTCATTATGAAAATTTCAATAAAATGAAAAATTAAGTTAATAAATTTTTTTTTGTTATAAACAAATTGTATTTTTTAAAATTTTTTAACACCATGTTATTGTACATAAGAAACCATCAACCTCGCCCATTAACAATTTTTTTGTATGTCTTTCCGTTTTCGAGATAGCCGTTTCGAGCCAAAACTTCAAGGGGTGGTTTCACCCCTTAAACTCGAGTTACCGCAGCTAAAAAAAAATACGTGTCGATTATTTTTGGCTGCTTTATAAGTGTACAAAGTTTCATCAAAATCGAAGACGGACCGTTCGCGATGGTTCCTTGTGAGTTACTGAAGTAGTTTCAATTGCGTGTTTTGTATTTTAGCGAAACAGGATTTACTTCAAACATATTCCTTCATGACGTATTTGTACGTATTTTGTATATTTTGTATATTTTTTTTATAATTAATTATTAAAAATTTTGTTACAGATGCTAATTGGTGAATATCTCCATTCGAGATATAGCAACACGGAATCTTCCAAAGTATTATGTGGTTACAATATACCTCCTTGGTTGTGGAGCGCATATGAAAAGGTACAGTTTAAAAACTATCTCTACAGTCAGTCTTGCATATAATAAATTGTAAATTTTGTTAATTCCTAATTATATAAATGAAACTTAATACAAAAGAAAGTGCAACTCAGTACGTTGCAACGAATGAACAGTATTATTTTCTCATATTAAAATCCTTGTAGCTAACATATGCAGCACAAGGTAGAAATATAATAATTAAGAATAATTTATTCACTGAATAAATGGTTCTGTACACATAAGATATTTTCCGTTTTAAATTACATTCTTGTTGTTTCAGATTGGAATCTTCGGTTTTGGAACCATTGCGAATATTTTATTCACGGATATAGCCAAGTATACCATCGGCCGTCTAAGACCCCATTTTATGGCGATCTGTATGCCTAACATAAATTGTAGTCTTATCGAGAATCAACACAGGTACATCGAAGATTATAGCTGTTCACCGAATACTTCATCCAGGACCCTAAAGGAGGTCAGGTAAAAATTATTTTTACACATCAGAAATATTAAGTGTCGCGAAGTATCGAGTTGTTTTTCTCTAACTCGAATCAAAATTAATGCATCTTTTTCAATAGAACTACTATAAGTCTAGCTTACCATAATTACAGTGCACACAATAGAACACGTTTCTATCGACATGTTTCGTGCTGAACCTATTTTCAATGAACTTTCCGTTCGTGTCGCGTGGGTCGTTTGCGACCCACGCTATTGAGACTAACAGTTTTACTTATAACTAGATTAGTGTTTTTCAACGTGGGGCGTACGTCCTACGGGTGGGCAATTTGTATTATTTAGAGGACAATTAGAAAATTCCATTAAATTAACATCATCAAGGATACATGCAGTAAAAAATTTACAAATCATAAAGGTAACTGGTATTGCTACAGTTGTTATTGCTGACAAGTACACACTACATACATACTATAATTCCCCATGGAAAGGTTTCAAACGAACACCCTGTATAATTCTTGCGTGAGATGACGAAATTTGTATTGCTTATGCTACGTGGTTGTAATCGTCTGCACTTTTTATTCTTCATTGAAGATCTTGGGTCGAGTATCTCAAGGATATAGCCCTTTTACGTATTTGAGTTCGCAAAACGTTGAATCGCGTGACGGTAACAATTGCAGACGCAATTGCGGAACGAGGAATGTAAAATTTAAATTAATGGAAGGGGAACGATTGCTTTCGTTATTTTTCGTTTGCTAATAGCGGCAATGGGATGAACGAATAGTAAAAGTTGGCAGTTCAAATACATCCTTTAAGCTCGTATTTCATTGTGTAATTTTATTTATAAATATTACTTGATTGCCACGCCAGTTTTCCTTGTCTAAGAATATCTTCGATATTTTTTCAAATGATAGTGTAAATATTCAATAACTGCATGAAGTAGGTATTTGTATTCGTAATGCCAATTACGAATTAGTCTTAAAAAAATGTTGCAATCGTTAAATTAATGTGTTTTCTTAGTGGAATTCATTTGTTAGTATTTTATGCCATCGATTAGGATGTACGGTATTGTCGCGATGAAAACGAAATCTTCGAGATCGTTCATATTTATGCAGTCATAGACATGAAATTTGATACCATTTTGTCGACACTTTCTTCGGTCACTCCATACGTAGAAAAGGACACCAATGAGTTTAAGCAAAAGAAAAAGACAAACTCTGGATCGAGGCGGTCTCGGCCTCTTTACGGTAAACGAAAGAGAGAAAAAGAGGAACTGTGGGTCGAGGCAGTCAACGAAGTTTGCTCATATAACTTCAGTACAATTTCATTTTTTTTTAAGTTTTGATTCTTTATTTATGAAACGTTTACCACCATATTCGTACGATCTCTCTGATTAAATTAAGACCAAACATGACATAAATTGGATCATATTTAATTAATTTAATATGTGGAAGATAACGAGTTATGTATTATCACTTCCAAATTACATATATCGTATTTGGTTTCAGTTTAATCAGAAATGTTTCATCGATGTATTTGTAGCGTATGGCATAGCCTAGTGTTGCGTCTCTTACACTAATTATTCTTTATCGCGTCTAAAATTTATTAACTATTGAACAAGTAAATGTGATCCAAATTATATCGTGTTTAGTCTCGTTTTAATCAGAAGAATCCGACAAATGTGATGATCAAATTTTCATTAACAAAAAGTCAACGATAAAAAAAGTTTTATTGTCGCATTAGTATTGCGACGCGAGGACTTATCTCACCGATTGTTTTTTTTCCTTAATCACTGGCGAGCCGCTCAATGACCCGTCGGCGTGTTAAGTAACTCGTCTGGCTGGTTCCGAGGAGGATTCCTCCTAGTAGTGGGGATAAAATTTTTTCACTTAACGCAGACACCATTTTCGCTTTTATAGAGACAACACTGTACTATTAAGGAGGTATTCTGGAAAACGTCGTTTTTAAACGTTTCTTGAAATAAAAAGTAATCAGTTTCTAATACGTTAAGTAATGTAATATGTTTCGCACGTGCTCGAATATGTTTCAAGAAAGAATTTATCATTTTCATCTACTATATGTATTTACTATTTCTTATATTATTACGTGTTTGTTGATGTATATCACTTTAAATGGCTTCCACGATTTGCGTTGTTGGGTTCATCTAAAATGACAAACTCATAGATAATTTTATTATCTTTGAATATGATGATCTTTTGAGCCAGAATGAAATTGAAAATACATGTTTTATGAAAAAATATCGTTCTCGAGAAAATAGAGTTTGAAGATTTGCTGAGTACAATTTTGCCCAATTGCTTAGACCGATTGCCTAGATATCTAGACCAGTTAAGTCAACGTATACAAGATGCATTTGAAGACCTAAAGAATCAAAATGCATTACCTAGCGTGCACGCGTACATGATTAGACGAGTACAAAATATTTAATATGACGGGTGCATTGCCATGCACAAACAACATGCGATGAACATCTAATGGAACTTCTTTCAATAGCTCGTGGAATTGATTACTTAAGAAATTGACATAAGATTGACCTGTTAATCTTTGATCAAGGAAAACAGCCCCGATTACATTATCATCGATTATCCCTGTCCAGTATATTTACACTGAATTGTTGTTTGTGTCTTGATTGAAGAACGGCACGTGGACTATTTTCGATCCAACACTGAGTATTATTGATTATTCCGTCCCTGGGAAATCCATTAATAAATAAATAAAACAACGAACAGATAATGCTGATCGGCCATAAACATCTGCAGGCATCCAATACAAAGATTAAATCCGTCCTGTAAAGGACTCGTCTACTGCCACCTACTCAATTACAGTCGCTCTAACCTGTTTTATTTAAAATACTATATAAGCGTTACGAAGTTATAAACTACAAAATCTGACATACAATTATAAGTGTAATTAATACGATAAAGAAGCAGAACTTCATTTTTTACGAGACGATACAATTATCTGAACCAGAGAATTTGTCTCTTTGCTTATTGAATGATCCTCATACAACTTCGAACCATGTGTTGGCTACAGTCTTTTGCTGTTGGTTGAATATTACGTTTCTACAAACAAAACCTTTTTCGAAGCTTTCAATATTCAAAGCTCCATTGACTTATTTCTATACATCTTGTTTTTCTTTATGCCTCGTACAATCATGATAGAGACGCCAATTAATATTCGACTCTTTATTCTCGTATTTCTTTCGTTAAGTCCTGTTCAACGCAATTTCTACGCATTATTATAAATTTAATGGTAAAATGGTTTTCAGTCAGTTGGTTATCTAAGTAAATGGTTGTTTTAGATTATTTGCTCTGGTGTTCCGGTACACTAATCCGTTCGTTACTCGGATCTTCGGTGCATTAAATCGAACGGACGTTAAGTAGTGGTCTTGCGCCTGTGCTTTATTCGTAACGGAATTTCGTTGATTTTTTGCCGAGGCAGTACCTCGAGCCGGTTTTAACGGATACGAGCAAAAAGGGCCGCCGGTAGCAGCAAATGACAATGAGGAAAGGACTCGTGCAAAGGGCGATTCGCATGGACGGGATTCGATCGAAATCAAGGAGCTCCCTCGGCAACGGAAACACTATTATACGGACGAATTACCATGAACACACCCCTGTCATTGTCACTGTAGCTACAATGCCTCAGCATTAACCATTCGCGTTCGCATTTTTCACCCCCCGTCTTCGTTCAACACGCCCAGCGATCGTACTTCTCGAACGACATTCTAAAAAGACACTTAACGTAAATGACTTTGTCAACAAGTAATTGTGTTCTCTTCCATATAAATTAAAGTCGAATTTTTCGCTGGTAACAAAAACTTTAATCATCGATCTGTCGTCCATTTTGTTTGATCACATTTAATCGTCTTTCCGACACCTTCGCGAAAGTACAGAGTTGTCGGTGTTTAATTTGCGCGGCCATTTTCCTCATAGACGATGCAACGTATTTATCGATCGAAGGAAGACTCGATCTAGTATTAGAAATTGTTAGTCTTTACGTTTATTATCGAGCAGCGAAACGATAACTAGGTCAGGCCTGAGTTAGATTAGTTTGGGATCATCGATCGACCCATGAAACAAAACTTTTCGATCAACGATCTTTTGGTAGGCTTGATTCGATTTAGCAAAATTATGACGGCAAAAATATCAACTTTATCTTTTCATATATCTTTCAGTCCACTATCCTTATCAATCTGTCTTCTACAGAGAAATTGCTAGTTCTTAGCGATATTGGAAATAGGTATTACTAAGACGGAGTTGAAATACAAAATTATCTAACAAATATTTTTTTAAATAACGAATTTTCCAAACATCTGGAAACACTACAGAACTCTTTCGCGATTATCTTATAAAATTGAACGTAAATGCACACTTTCATCTTGCTAGTCAAGGATAAAGTTGATTTTAAAACCAAAAATTGTCTAAAATTGAAATTGAAAAAGACCTACAGTATTCTAATGTTCTTATCTGTCTTCGTCTTGTACGTAAAGAAACCAGGATTTTCAACTAATTTTAACTAATATTTAAGAACGATATTCTTGGGAATATTGCATAAGAAGTATCCACGAGTTCCATTAAACTGTTAAAAGTAGTTCATGAAAAAAAGATTAAGAGCAACTGTTCTGCAGACACATGGGTTCAGTTTTTTCCTTGGGAAGGAAGTAACATGTAGCGCGTTGTAAAGTATCATAAAATAATGTTACAGGGAGCCTTAGGGGTGGGTGTTCTACTCACGAATGTTCGTATCGTAATATCCGAGAAAAAGTATGCACTTTGAACGGTTAAAATACTCTTTCTAGCGAGTTCTTACTCATTTCAAGTGTTGAGACAAGTCTTACCATTTTAATTCACCAAATTACTTCGCATAAAGCTTTACAAATTTTTACAATAATAATACTACAATAAATTTCAATAAATATCTAGATGAAATTGATGAACGAAGAAAATTCAAAATATTAAAGCACCGAATTGATCAAAGACACAAAAGACAATTTCTAAGTCAACTAGCATAAACACAGCGTTCCCGGATTTAATACAATTTTTTAGCATTATTGTTTTCTTTACTGAAAAAATGTTTACGTATGCTTTTCAAGCGATAAATAAAAATGGAGGATGTACAAAGCATTTATTTTTATATGAAGCGTTTATTCGCTTGACGACAAAATTTGACAAAATTTGATTATTTTTTAGTATACCTTCATCGAATAACATCTGTTACCGTATAAAACTAAAAAGTGCGTTTAATCAAGTGTCACGGAGCGCATGGCCCGGTCTCCCCTATCCGTCTTTATGGAACGAAGATTATTCGCGGTGGCGGGCAAGGATTATTCTTTTCTTCGTTGTCTGTCATGAAAGAAGTAGCAGAACGTTATCGTTGCAAGTTGTAAAAGGAAGGATCATTTCCTCACCGGTAGTTCATTTAATGGACGCTCACTCGAGCGTATCACGGGTCATCCGCCCTTCGCGTAAGCAGGGACAAGTTTTATGTATAGAAAGATTTGAGGAATCGACGATAAAAGCTCACAGAGACAGTCATTCATACGTCTCACCCTCTTGGTTTCTGGTTCGTCAAAAAGGGGACTCGTACAGCAGCGTTTCCCAATCTTTCTGACTTCTCTGTCTACTAAGACTGCGGTAGCCTCTTTCAATTATACGTTCCGCGAATCGCTTCAATTGGTATCAGTTAAGATTATGATTTCCGGAAAGCAATGCAACGTTTAGATTTCGTTCCATCGTTCGACACATCAAACTTCGATAAAAATGTTTATTGAAAATTAGATCTTTGTCTCGCGAGATTTCCTATCAGCAGGTAATGGATTAAACGTATCGTTCGTCATACTAGGAAATTATACTGTGAGGATAAACATTGATTTACGAATAAATCTTATCCTTATTGGGCGCGTTTTTACCATTACGAAGTAAGTTTACCATTTGTTAACGTTGCAAAATAAGTTGTATTTCATACTCCAGAAGTTTTAATACAATTATAGTGAAAATGAAAGTCGAAGAACGAATTTGATTTGTTGATTTGGGCATCTTGTTAGTAAAGAAAACAACAATGCTAAAGAATTATATTAATCCCGGGAACGCTGTGTTTATCCTAGTTGACTTAGAAATTGTATTTTGTGTCTTCGATTAGTCCAGAGTTTTAATGTATTTTTGGACAATTTAACTAAACAGGTATTTCATCCACAGATTATCAGTGCCGCATCCATGCGTAAAATTTAATTTATATCTGCACGTTACAGTTATATAATGTTTCTTATACAACAGCAAATCCAACGACCTGTAATATATGGGTCAACTTAGGTTATTCAGGAGCAATATCGTCCAATGACCGTAAGGTCCGAGCTAAGTTGAATGCTATGTTTCTTGAGTGCTATCGAGGGAGACGAAGCAATACGCGGTTTAAATCAAGTTCATCGAATCCGACGGCTTTCGATTTCCTTTTATAAAGTAACTCGAAAGTAAAAATTTACAAAATTCACCGGACAATATGAAAGTTCGAATGCGTGTGGATAATTTCTCGGGGAAATACTTTCAATTGGATAGAACAGTGTTGTCTGTGTCAATGACTCTTAACCTTAACCTAACCCGGGCTCTAAAGGGGTCTTAGATAGATTAGACGGTGGTTCGCGAACTTGCACATAAAAATTTAAAATATTCGTTTTCCTTCTATACGTTATGCCTAAAAGTATCAACTTTATCTTTTCAATGGTTTAACAGTATGATAGTTATTAGACTAAAATAAATCTTTCAATCCAGTGTCCTCAACTTTATACTTGTACAGAGAAATTATGAGCTTTCCTAGCTAATATATAAGAGAAGCGTAGAGAGTTGAAATTAAAAATTCTCTAACAATGTTCTTTTTAAGTAACAAATTTTGTAAAATTGATCGTGGATCCACGATTCTTTCCTGTCTAATACACAAATTCTATCCAAGATGCAGATCTAGGCGTCGATCTTAGAACCAAAAATTCCCTAAAATTAAAACTAAAAGTCTCGGAGGATTCTGGTGTCTCTTGTACACTTATGCTTGTTTTGTTTGATACATTATATTTGAACAAGTTAGAGTTTTCAGCATTGATTTAACTAATATTTAATAACGATATTTTGAGGAACATTGCATAATATTCATGAGAAAAACTATTTAAACAATAAGCCTAATGACAAAAAATACAATTAATCAAACAAAAATGAATGAACGTGGAATGTGTAAATATATTTTGCCGATCAATTGTTTTCATTTAAACAAAAATGTAACTTAAACAGAAATTGTCATTGCAATAATGGAACTTGTTATAACAAAACTTATAAACGTGAATGTTAAAAATGTTTTTTACTTCGAATAAGATATGATGCACAATACCTTAATAATAAATTAAAAAATAATAAGATATCGTAATTTTTATAGAACACGTTACCATGACACGTGTATACACGAAACATCTACTTAAATTGTCACGTCTTGTTGTTCCGCAAACGACTCTATTCTTCGTTTTATTTGGTTGTCTTATCAACAACCGAACTCCATACGTCTACATACCCAGAGACACATTAATAACATTAAACATCATATACAACAATATATTTAAAAAGAAACACCGGATATATCTCCTGTGGATTTTTATTTTTGGAGATATCTGCGGTTTGTTGTCTAGGAAATATCAATTGATAGTAGTCAAGAGTTCCGGGATTGCATAATGTATGCATGTACATACATAATAGCATAAATCAGAACGCTTTAATTGAGACGTCAACTAAAAGTCTAATACAAAGAGCGAAGCTCTGTATCGCGGAAGATGGATTACAGTTTGAAAATAGGTTTTAACATAATTTATCACACTTACAGATTTCGTTCGTGCGTAACATTTACGATTTACGATAAATTCCATTATTGCAATTACAAATACAGATATTATAATCAAGGATTTAAATAAACTATTTTCCATTAATATTAATCGTTTGTATTGATCGAATTTAAAGTTTTTGAGACCAGAGTCGACGCAAGATCATAGTCTATGGCCTAAATAATATATGGTACTGCTAAAAAAAATCAAGGTGGCAAGGTTATTTTAACTTTTTAATATGTAAATACTTGGTTGATAATTGATCTGAATTAGGTTTGATCTAATCTACAACTCGATATAAAGTATTTGGAAATTATAGTTCTACGTTAACTTCAAGAAAACGAACTTCAGACAATTTTTTCGCTTTATTAATATTACGATTTTTGAAGAATATTTTAACGTTTAGACTATTTAGGCTGTTCCAATTCGACTAATTGTAGTGCTTAAGATTAAGTGTAATTGTAACTAATTATAGAGATAGGAGTAGAAAAAACTGCGAACAGCGAACCTATAATTATTTCGGCCACTGTATATATTTGCTAGGCGTTCACGGTGCATTCGTAAAAAATATTCAGCGCCGGTGGGTTTAAAGAACGTGGTTTGGCAAATATTGCTACGAGGAAGGTAGACGAGGGGGGGAAAAAGAGAAAAGAGTAAACACAAAGGGAAGGCAGATAACGTCCGATTAAAGTTGCAGTTTCTTTGATGCCCAATTACTCTCGCAGATAGAAGTCCTCAGTCCACCCCGCCTCTTGGTTTTTTCTACGGTTTAGCTTTTCCTTTTTTTCGCGTTGCGATCGAAGGAACCTCCGCCAAATCTTTACGATCCACGCCGCAGGGTATGCAGTCGCGTCCCGCGATTGTAATCGCCACGGAACACGCCCCGGAATTAATCGTGATAAAATTAATAGGGTCCTATTACGGGGCGCGTGTATACGAATGACGGTACCGAGTTAAGATGGGAAAGAATAGAAAAAAAAATATATAAATAAAATGAAAATTTTGTATGAACGATCGACGAATGAGATTTATTTGACACAAGACAATTTATAACGTTGATCGTTTCAGATTATCCTTTCCCTCCGGACACTCGTCTTTCTCTGCCTACACCATGATCTATCTTGCGGTAAGTTCCACTTTTCATTGTATAAATCTCACCAACGGTTACAGCTAGGGACAAAATGATTATTCACTTAAATATTATTACCGATAGGATCGCATATTTTTCCACGCGAAAAGCACTTGATCGCATTACGCCGTAAATAAATGTCGTCTCGTTGCTTCAGATGTACACTCGGCGATGTTTATAGAAACTTTTTCCTACGGCGGACGAAATTTCTATGAAAACGGTTTCGAATAAAAATGGCAGAGAATTTTAATAATATTTTTTCAATCCCAAGAAATAATTAAGGAATAATAGAAACAACCAACGTTCAGGATTTTCAAAAATTGTTCGATTTCTCTTATAAAGAAATATTCAAATTTAACGCACAGAAGAGTGACAAAATCTGTGCAAGAACAATCAATTTAGCTAATTTTTACCATGTTTGTCGCATAATTGTACAAAATTCTGTATGCAAGTACAAGATCTATTACACCTTGTGTGCTATTTCTTTTTCAATAGTACTTGTATTATTCAGGAAAATGCACAGACCATTAAAAGAAATATGTTTTTACGAACTTTTCAACATAAATGTAAATTAGTTTTTATCAACGTGTCGTCGCTGCGATTGTCTGTGCACGCTAATAATAAATGTAGTTCGCTTCTTATGAGGTTTTCAATCTATGAATAATAGAAATTGTACCTCAACGAGTATGGGATTCACTCTATTCATTTTATCTATTACCTAGGATCGACTTTAACGAATCTTTTGTTAACTCTTGTGGGTATGGTAACTTATACTTATGGTAGTACCAATATTGGAAAAATTTGAATGGGAGATTCTAGAGGCTAAAATAAAACGAAAATCAAGGATACTAATTTGTTGATTGAGGCATCGTTAAAAAGTTATAAAAACCCCTGTCGATTTTTCTTAAAAACTTGTTTTTGATTTTTAGTAATTTTGTTTGACGCCCCATAAAAAAGTTGTCTAATACCTTTCTGCAGGTGCTCATGAGCTCTACTTCAGAAAAAAAGTTTCATTAAAATATATTCACTATTGTAGCAGTTATGGCTGTTTGGGAATTGGACTATTTTTATGAGGTTTTTCTTGCTTTACGGGGTTAAGGAACAACTTTTCGAATATTTTTGAAATTTCTAGATATTCTCCATCCAAATACGCGTTGTTTGCCTTTTGAGACATTAAAATGCTTCTATCCATTCAGAAGTTGTGATATTTTAAACATTTACATGAAATTTCGAGAAAGCATTTCTGACCAGAAATTTAGAACGATTTGAAATTTTTTAATTTTGTCGAGTTTGTCCACCTACTCGAATTTTGTTCTCGAAATTGCGTAGGATTTCAGGGATGTGTCTATTCATAAAAAATAATTGTAATTGACCCCCGCAACCGAAAATAATTTTTCCGTGAATGATTTGAAATTTTTTAATTTAATTTTGTTAATAACTTTTTAACGAAGCCTCAATCAACAAATTGCTATTCTTGATTTTCGTCTTATTTTGGAAGAATCTCCCATTAAAATTTTTTCCCAGGGATGGTCGAACACCCTGTACATCAGTGTTATGTATCGACAGATTATATCAGAAAGAATTTCATCATTTTAGTTCTTATTATAACCAAAATGTCAAATGGCTGGACAGAATTTATCACTGTGGAACTAGAAAAGTTAATTCTCAAGTTGAGATGTTGAAGGAAATAAATACAAAAATAAGTACCGAAACAAATTTTAAGTTATGTAGTTTACAATGGTCTAAAATCAAGACCAGTATTACAGTTTACAGTTTCACCGCTTTCAATTGTTCTTGTGATTTCAGAAAATAAATCCTAAACAACGTCGCTTATTTTCTGTATAATTTTTTAAACATTTTACCGATTGTACGAGCCGTTTTTATTATATTAATTCGTTGTGATCTTTTAGTTGTACTTACAGCTGAGGATAACATGGAAAGGTAGCAAGTTAGTAAAACATTTACTTCAATCTCTATGCCTGCTTATGGCCTGGTTCACCGCATTGTCACGAATTTCTGATTATAAACATCATTGGAGCGACGTCCTGGCCGGCACGGCCCTTGGTACCATCGTGGCACTAGTCGTGGTAAGCATTATTCCCCTTAACTATCCCATTGTGCGATTATAAACTACAATGCGGTCATAAATATGAAATACGCGATGCATTAAATTCAAATTTTCACGATCCCTATCGACAGTATTAAACATGTGGACATATGGGTCAAGAGATACAATAATGTCACTTGGACGTTATTTCACTATAAAAATTAGTAGCTATAATAGTTTCTAATTTATACGATACACTAGCTTCTAATTAGACGCAACAATCAACTAATATTCTTAGCTGTGCGGAAGCGACTAGAATGTGACGAAACCCGATCGTTGTTTGTTTTATTCTTACTATTGTTTACGTGAAATAACGATCGCATAACGTATCAACCCTTGAAGATTTCAACCTACAATTTTAAAATACCTAGTGTGTATTTTTGATCGTTAACTTTCTTTCTGAGGCAACCGTGAATTTAATGCACTTTCTCAGTTAACGATACGAACATAGCGTTTCACTTTCGAAAGCCTAAACAAGACAGCGAGTCGAAGCATTCTTTAGAGTCATTAACGTCCAAAACGCGAACAAAATGTAGCTAAATAGAATTTTTCCAAGTAATAATATAAAATAAAATAAATAAAAAAAGAAAAATATTTATACGTGTTGCCATACCATTAGTTAATAGTTCAAATCATTTAACACGTTGACTGCCAGACTAAACCCCTCAAATTGTCCGCGAAAACGAAACTGCTTTTAGACAATTGGAACTAGATTTATTTTCTTCGAGTTGTCGAAGGAAATAAATTTGGATAGGATTCCCTGAATTTTAACAAGATTACAGAAACAATTACTAAAATGTATGTAAGACGGTACCCTACAAACCAGCCGCTAAACGAGTCAACATACAATATAAGATAACAGTCTAAGCCGTTCGCGACAGGGACAAGATGACAAGAAATCAGTCGTCGTCCTGCCTCGGTCGAGTTAAGATGTATAGAAATACAGGATGTCCGGCCACCCCCGGGGAAAATTTTAATGGGAGATTCTAGAGGTCAAAATAAGACGAACATCAAGAATACAAATTTGTTGATCGTGGCTTCGTTAAAAAGTTATTAACGTTTAAAGTTCCGCCTGTAGATAGGCAACCTGCATACAGCTGCGTGCGGGCAATAGTGGTTCTCACTCAGCATGAAAAACTCTACTTAGTGACGTATCGACAGCCTCACAGTTTATGAGTGAGAACCACTATCACGCGTACGCAGCAGTTCGCAGATTACCGTTCTACAGGCGGAACTTTAAACATTAATAACTTTTTAACGAAGCCTCGATCAACAAATTGGTATTCTTCATTTTCGTCTTATTTTGGCCTCCAGAATCTCCCATTAAAATTTTTCCCAGGGGCGGCCGAACACCCTGTATAGCCTGTTATTTTTACAAGGTCTTGTTCATTAATCCTTTACACCCGAGAGTCTTTATTTATATGAACAACTAGCAACACCAATTACAATTTTGTGACGTGAACTTCTAAAAATAAAAAACTATTCTTTCTCCCACAAAAATGTTTAAATACCTAATTTAAATTCTATTCATATATTTCTTAAATTAAATTTGTATTGTTCTCCCCACAAGTATTCAGCTATCCCGACCTTACAGAATTTTGGTTACGTGGTTCACAAAGGTCTAAAATCGAAATTTTAATCGTGCAGAATGTTGCACCATGGTTTCGATCCGGCAGCGTACGATTTAAAGCGATATTGGTTGTATATTTTAAAATAATGGGATTTTGATATGCATGGGAGGCTGAGAGGTTTCGAAATTGTTTGTAGGCGAACTGCGTGGCGGACTTGTTCAAGGAGCGGAGACATTCCTTAACGGAGGAGAAGCATCGCGCGGCTGATTACGAAACAGGAGGCGGTACACAGGTGAATAATGGCACTAGTAATCGCAACTGTTGACCTAACGAGCTCGCTCTTCGCTTGCTGACCACAACAAGGCCGTGACTGTCTTCTAGTTGTCTCTGGGAAGCTAGTCCGATCTCAGGGATCAAAACGCTGGGCGTCTGAAGCCGGGCGCATAATGGCGTCCCAGCTCTTCGCAAATTTTTCAATCCAACAAGCAAACTGCCTTACGCTGGGGACCGGCGCAGCGCGTCGCGTCGTGTGCCGATCATCATCACCCTCTCATCATTACTATCATCTACGTTGTTGTCGTCATCGGGGAGATTCCATGCATCAATTTCTGTAAAAGTTCCCGTGCAATATGTCGCGCGGATCTGTCATGCGATTGTTTGTCACAGTGCTTTCTCTGTTATATTCGGGTTAAGCTTTTTGGTGGTCAGCTTAACGTTTGTCACTGCTGGTGGAAGGAATCTATAGCGAGGAGCGACTATTATTTGTGGTTGCATCGTCTTAGCCTGAGGCGTCGATGCCCTCTATTCTTATATTTCGTACAAGTCCGTTGAATCGACTAATTTGATTTGCAACTGATTTTATTTGTACACGTTACTCAAGAAAGTTAAGTAAAACTCCGCAAAACGGACTTTCTAAACGATCTCGATACTTCTGATATATACAGAGGGCGCAAGTGTTTTGGTATAAAAAAATAATTATCGTTTACCCTTCGTTTTCAGGATGTAATTATTACGAATATTGTCTTATAAACAGAACACGACCAATTCAGATTATTACTTTATAATTCCGTGCTTATTATTGAAACGTTCTTAACAACAGACAATCCAATCTAACGACGTGAATTCGTGCTATAATTCAAGATTTCTAATAATTATATCTCGAGGCTTTTTGCAGCAAAACACTCAGAAATATGTATATTCCCTCCAAGATATATCAGAACTCTGGAAATCGATGAGAACGTTCGTGCAGTTTTACCAACCGTGAGGACAATGGCGGAAAGTGGCCATTTTTGGCATTTGTCGAAAAAGAAAAATTTTTCCATTGCGTGCATCCACGCATCTTGAGGAATCCAGAAATAGTTTTTTTACTAAGTGACTGGAAAGTTGTATAATATAGGAATTCATGAGGAGCACAATTTATCTATTTAATGTTTTATTCAAATGATGTAAGAAATTTGCAGGTAAATTAGTGAAAGGTTGACGACGATCAAACTCAAGCAACCATAAAATTGTTGCAACTACTATACCCTGAGAAGAAAAAACTTGTGGGGTATCACGAGGGATAAGGAGGTATTCATTGAACGTCATACATGGATTGGGTTGACACACCTGGACGTTAGTTCGTTCTATGAGGGCGTTTGTGTACGCCTGACTTTGTGGTTGTGTATCAAGAATGAACTAGCATTTCTGAAACGAAATGGCGCGCCCACCGATAAACGTTTTCTGTAAGCCTTGCTTAACTGCCGACGCACAGTGCATTTGCATGTTAAAAAACACATTATGTTTCTTGAAAATTTACTCTGCGTGTATCAAGTTAGTGATTCAACGCTAATAAAATGTAAATCTATGATAACGTTGAATATCTCCAACTTGCCATTACGCAAAGTGAATGTACAAGAATCAAAGGCGAAGGATTTAGGACTAACAAGGATCGATACTTTTTTCACTACGAATTTACGCGTGTTCCCATTAAATTTCAATTAAATAACTATTGTTTCCTGATTCCTTAGGATGTACAGATGCACGTTGTTTAGAAACTTTCTTTTTCGACGAACGCCATAAAACGTTATTCTTTTGATATTGTCCTTTTTGATTGATTCGTATGATATACAGAAGCAGCCAAGTTTAGATTCCAATTGTACGTATGAAAAGCGACTATAATTTTAGCGGAACAACGTCGAAGCGATACTATTGTATAGGTAGACCCGTGTTTAAAGTTTTTTTCGACGAAGATATATTTATTTCTTGTTGAACATTATTTATTTTTACACTAAACTTTAAGCAGCGCATAAATATGTTGTTACCCTTGGCGGTAGGTACTGCTCGTTGTGTATAAAGTTGTATCTTCTAAAAACTACACGCGGTACGCTGGATTTATTCTTGTACTATGTATATTTTAACGTGTACTCTCTTGTTGACCTTTGGTGCTATCGATCGCTCGATCCTATTACGCTAAAATTGGTTATCTCGAAACGTGTACTTTTAATAAGATATCAGACGCTGTATCTGTTGTCCGATTTCACTTCAAAAAAACATGCCTAGTGTAAAGAAAACTTATTACGGATATTTAAGGCGTAACAATTTGTCATTGCGATTTATTGGTATATTTGCACAATGTTATCGTAATGTTCGTAAGGAGAGGTCTTTCGTGACATCGAGATTTACGTTTATTTTAATCTCGTGTCATGTATCGAGCAATGTAACTGTTACTAGCAAATCTTTTAACGCAATAAGTTAATGGTTCGAAACGAACGTATAATACAAAGTATTACATTGTTATTTAAGCAATTAGTACACCCTCGGAAAACATATAATCTTATTCAATTTATAACTAGATTATAATACCATTAAAAAATGTATATATATATATTTCTAGACTACAAAAGTATAGATCATTATACTATAATACATTTATCGGGCGTTAAATCTCGTCCTTCCCAATTGATTTTTTATTCAATTTTTTACATAATTGATATAGCAAGCGTACTAGGTATGCACGATGTAATTCTATACAATATTGATAGTGTAGATAGTATCTATAATGACGAATAAAAGCATAAACATGTAATGTTATACTAATGTTGTAACAGGTAACGACATATGTATATTATTTATATTCTTTATAACAACGTACTGAGAACATTTGTAGACGGATTGTAATGTTTATAGTTCTGCACTCTGATACAGCTTTTTATCTTGACACTCTTTAGTCTCCTTAAAGAAGTTGTCAAGTTACAGACTAAAAATTCTCAATTTTTTAGTGATCCTGTGCGAACAAGTTTAAGTAAACTTCTACAGGTGTTATCTAGAAAGTTGAGTTTAATAGTCCAAGTAAAACACTGCACTGTTTGGAATTAATCCGATGTATATTCAGTAATAATAATAATAATGAACGAAACCAAATGAAAGTTTTTAGTGGTAGACTCAGGGCTCTACCTGTATTATTGACCGCCTAGGTGCAAAAACAATATCGACGTTATCAATATGAAATTATTTAATTAAGTATTTGATACGCAGTATTTTATATCCACGTATGCCTACATAATTTTAAACAGTTATCATGCAAAAAAAGTTTCGTTTTTATAAAATAAAATATATTTACACGGTACACTAACGAAATGGTATTAAAATCTTATACTTATTCAGCAATAAAAACTTTATTGATGTATACTAACTGGCATTTTTAATGTCTTGCATTTCGTAGACGTTTGGTTTACAAAATATGTATATTGGAAATTAGAGCTGATCGGCCGTGTAGTATTTGTAAGAATAATTTATGATTCTAATAAATGATACAAATATTTACCTTTAATCATTTTGTAACGTTCATTTACAAAGGAAGAACAAGTCCTTTCTATAATCAGAGCGCTAAATACGTACAATCCACTTAATAACCAAGTGATTATAAATTCATTTAATCCTGAACCATCCGAGTGCTAACAATCTGCGTTAAACAATGGTAGACGTAACTTTAATTATACTACAGAGTGCGAGAATCATCGCCGTGAACTTGGAAATCAAACATTATATAAAGACACACGATTACATGTGCATACTTTTGTTCGTCACTCGTACATGATATATATTTACATAGACACACATATATGATGTGTATGGTGCTAGAAGTGTTATACAAACATACGGCAATGCTGTATCATCAATTGGAAGTATTGTGTACCTGTACACCGTTGATAGATGGAATTGTGTACATTTATACGTTAAGATAGAGATGTTTATTTATTTTATAAAAAGATATGTCGTGTATTCGATTTGTTCACGACAGGTGTCTAAAAGAGACCAGTAACTTATTTTGACTTATACTTTGAACCACAAATATAATAAAACTGGAAAATAATTCTTAAAAAGAAAATGGTTCTCGTTTACCTTTATCCAAATAATGAATTTTTTACTAATACGATATTCATTTTCATCGATGCATGAATGAATTACCTGTGTCGATTGCACATTTTATTTTCACTGCAAGGAATCTTTTGTGCTTAATCATTTTGTATATTAATGAAGATTTATTCACAAAAAAACACTTTAACGTAAACAGTACTATAATCATCGTTTCTAATCACTTGTTAATTACCACTTCGATCGTCAATATTTAATATGTCTTCTCTATTTTATCCTATGCAAAACAGTGAAATATTACTATAATACTATTAATATTATCATAATATTGGAATGGTCAATGATATAATTTTTAATTATTAGCGTAGTTTGGTGGCGGTTCTTTTAATTTACTGCATAGTTTATTCCATATTCAGCACTCTTTAAGTAGTAATATTTTGTCAGTCAAGCAATTAATAAAGCATGTATTGTCGTGCTTTGGGCATCAGGTAGCATTGATCTGACACTGATTTAATTATATTACAACGTTTATATGTATGTACAAAGACATATTTATACAAATTAATCAGATTTCACGATTTCTATAATAACGAATGTCAAGTTACTATGGGTGCCAACGCGTGAGTAGCTTTTTATTATTATTTAAAAATTAATGAAAATAAAGGAACATTCAACGTTTAATTTTAGCAAACTAATAGTAAGTTGTACTGACTAATATTTACGAGCTTTACTGAAAGAGTTGTATCCCGCCATTATCGTTCGTAGGATGTGAGGAATTCACTACCTACTATAAGGAATTAATTTTTCTTCTAGGACAAGTCTTCCGGTATCTCTTCAAACAATGGCGTAAACATGGGGGTTGTGATATCCAACGTAATAATGTCAATTAAAAAACAATTATAACGTATGTATTTTGTAATCGTTGTATACTAGAAATAACTATTTATCCAGAACCGCTAAGAACAGGTACATCAAACTGACAAGAAATATCTAAAAATGATTATCATGTTATCAGAAGAAAAAGTGATTATCACTATCGAACAGAATTAAAAAGATTTCCAATGTTTTATCAATTTCTCAGCAATGTAATAATAATGATTTTCACAGAAGAAATTGCAAAAATAAACTGAAGTATTACAACATGATTTGAAATCTGAAATATCACGTATAGTATAAACAACAAATATTTTATTTGTCGCCTATTATACGTCTTATTTAAAACAATGAAATTAATTTTAATCTAGTATATAGCATCGTTAGAAAAATTCATAAAAAGCACCCTCCATTTTAACACTACTAAGAAGACGTAATCCCTTAAAGACAATCTTCATTCACTGTAAGATACCCTAAATTAATTCATATCAGGGACCGAGTCGTGTTTACACGTGTGATAAAAAGGTGTAACGCGCGCGGAAGGTAGTGTGTTGAGAGATTTAAAATATCTCTCAAGCTAACAATTTTTTGGTAAAAGGTCCTAGTATGTACTTCTTTGTAGGAAATAAAAAACTACTCTAAATAATGCATTTAAAAGTACAAGATTTCCTTTAAACTTTATTACATTTACCTAGTCTGAGAAATAAAGTTAAAAACAAATTACGAAATTTAAATGAAAAAAAGGATGTAAAACATTTTTGCAATTGTAACGCGGCTTACTTTGTTGACAAGTTTAACTAAATAATGCAATGTTTTAAATAACACCTAACTATTATCCAGATACTTTAGATAGTGGACTACATTCCATACATTTATACAATAGCATTTAGATCTAGGAACAAGATTTTTCAATTATTATATAAACACGAATAAAGACAAAACTAGAAACCAATTAAAAAATGAAAAACTGAATACTATTAGGCAACTTGTTATAACTTTTTTGATGCCTAATGTTAAAACCGTATTTAAAGTACAAAGCCAGTCGTTATTTTAACTTTAAAAAATCAAGGTAAAGCAAGATAGCTTTTACCTTTTGAATAAATATATTTTTTAAATAAATTTAATACGTTAAAACAGCGATATATTATTTTAGTCCTGTCCTTAACCGAAACTCAGTTCGCAAAAAATATTATTTTATTTTATTTGGCGTACAAGCGATCGAGATTGTGCACCGCTGACCTAAATGGGTAACATGGAAATTTAGAGCACCTAATACCATTCAAGTTTGCCTTACATATACCATTCTACCCTACCTCAGGCCGATTCGATGATATAACTTGTCCCAGTTTCTTGGGACAATGTACAATGCAAGGTGAACTTTTACCATGTAACTTTTACCACTGAGATAACTCTGTAAATATTGATTTTAGGTAATATTGGACGAGATAAAAAATAGATAATTCAAAGGGGTAGTAATTTTTTTGACTGCTAACTTTTCTATTCTAAAAAAATGTTTACAAAATGAAATGTATTCAATCAAACTTTTACTGCACTCATTTCTGCATAAACAGAGGACTTTTACTTTTTCGAAAATGGAAAGACGTTTTAGTTGAACAGTAAAAAAAGAAAATGTCTTAGATTTGGCTATGAAATTTTGAAACAGGAATTGAATACACTAAATATGAATTCTTTACTTCAGCCAGTAGATCAGGGAGTCATAGCTGCATTTAAAAGTTATTATATCAAACACTCTTTGCAATGGATTATGAATAAAGCCAACAAATCTATCAACGTCATGAAGGTTTGAAAACTTTTCATACTTTTATACTGTATTAATCTCAGATTTTCATCTAGCAAAGATATAAAGGCGTCAACATTAAATGGAGAAAGGGAATATTTTTATGATATGAATTGTTTTGAAACCTATCTTGCACAAGATTTATAAGATCCAAGTTTTTCAATGGTAGAACCATGATTTGTTCCTTCATCGATAATCACTCGTCTGTTCAATATTGCTTTGTCATGTTACTTTCATCTGTGGCCATCTATGGACGTCCGGCTCCTACTTACGTAACGCTTCTGCGACCATTTGTTAATGTTTCT